GTTTTTTCCTTTTTTACGGGTTTTGCACGAAAAAATTTCTGGTGTGATCACAGCTCGATTCATTTTATCTGAGTGTGTGTTGAATTCTCGTGCAACGCTAAGACGATAATCCATTACTCTACCGCCACGAATTTTCTAGCACACATCAGAAATAACATAGAAATATATGTCTGTTTGGGGTAGATACAACTTATTAAAAAATAATTGTGAAGCTGTTGAAAAATAATTTAATGTTCAAAAAGTTGTTGTGGCTATTACATTTTCATTTTGAAAAAGCCAAATTGTAGCTGGAAAGCTGACACCGAATCTAGTCAAGACCGGGAGGAAAACACAGATTTCAAAAACAACTTTTTGAAAAAGCTGTCAGAATACGGCTTACCCAAACAGACAAAACAGTGGCGCGGTGCCGCACTACCATCCCGAACGGACCGACAATAAATTACTAAGATGGTGTTTGGTTAGCTTGAAGTATAATTTCGTGTTAATAGAATTTAGTAAATTCAAAAATCATAAATACGTTAAATCTTATTAATGCAAAGATTTAGTAAAGTCCACACACAAGCTGAATCGCTTAAATCCAAAAATTTGTAAATCGCGAAACTCTTGTATTTTTACACTTGATCGAGTTTCATAAATTCGGTGATAAATGATATGCAAAGGTTCTAACAAACTTGCCCCCAAAGGTTCATACATACCACACAAATCTTTTGTATCCACATTTCTAACACCTAAACATTGATCATATTTATATTCATAACCCTTAACTTCACATCAAATATACCACCAACGTTAACTTTTTTAAAGCGAGCAAAGTTGTTTTTTGTAAATATCAAATTTTAGGTGTTAGATATGTAAATATATAAGAATTATGTGCTATGTATGTAAACTTTCCAAAAATTTGTTGTACCTTTCAAACTAGCATGGTATATATCTTCTCATCATTTTTACTTTTATTTATTTATCTTGAAATTGACATGTTTTGATTGACAATTCTACTTCATTATGAATGCTTTGTCTTGTGCACAGCGATACATACAACAAAAAGCCAACGGCTAAGATATAGAAGACTTTAATCTTGCCATCACTTTCTTCATATTTATGTCACGAATAATTGATCTTTTGAGAGCTTTGCAACAAATGGACACAATCAAACATCTTTTCAATGTGCTATGATTGACATAGTTTTAGAATAAGTATAGCTTTCCCTTGCTCAATCCCCATTCCAAAAATGCTCTTTACTTCCCCCATTTTGCTTAATGCAAATTTCATACAATTGTTTCCAATATAAATAGCAATAAACATACTTTAGTACATAAAAATTTGTTTGCCTAGGAATTGCGTCGCCAAAGATCAATCAGGTAATTGCAAGTTTGGGTTCGTTTTTTCGTCACTATTCTGACGCAAACATGTGAGAAACAAAAAAAAAAAACAAAACAAAACATTGATTAGATTTTCATATACCTGCACATAACAAATACAAACATCATTATAGCACACTTATCCATCATCACAGCTGAAAAAATAAATCACCCACAAGTGCAAACAATGATAACAAACTTAATTAAACAAATACAGATCTAAATGTTTAAAGTTCACAACTACATAGAATGAATGTTCACATAAACAAAAATGGCAAAAAACACCGACCCCTATGGTAGAGGAACATCATCAAACACATAATGAAAATCCTAATCCTACTCCTCATCCTCTTCCTCCACCTCCTCATAAAAAACATTCATATGCTACTTGCCTTGACGATCAAAACTCTATGTCAGGTGTGCTAGCCCATCTGCAACCAACTGTAGAACTTCATGCACCTCTCGGATCTCTTCATTCATTGTGTTGACCCACCCAAGAAGCTCGTCATGTTAAGCAGATTGTTGACCTCATTTTTGGGTCACATGCAGCTTCCAAAGTTATATGAAGCTCCTAAAAAGGTCTCAATGCCTCTGAACCTTAAGAGAAAAAAGGCAATGTCCCTCTTTCTGACCTAGCATAGTCATGCTAGGCCTGGGTATGACCGCAACAGAATTGAGGGCTTGGTCGTGCCTCAAGCCACTCCCCAGCCTGGGTGTGGCCAAGCCCTCAATTCTACTGTGGGATCATCTCCTGTTAGCTACATCGCTGATCCGTAACCTTTGTTCATAAATCCTCATCCCAATCAGACGGCTGAAAACATCTGGGTTGACGGTTGCGGAAACTGTCAAAGTAATCCTGGTCAACGATCTCTGGTCTGATCTACGACCCAGGACAGTCGTTGCCGTTTATAAAATGTGGTTGTTCGTGCCTCCAAAAGGGGATCCATAATCAAGTCAAAGTACGATTCAAAGTATCACGAACACTTCTTACATAGAGTGTCCTCCTCCAGTTTTCTCTGGCGAACCTTCTCCTCCTTTAGTCAGTCGTCCCCTTTGTAAGTTAAGTATTCTAAGTTAAGCTTAAGTTTAAGTGCTTAAGTTTGCGAGTAGGTTAGCTTAACTCAATAGTCTTGGATTAGGCCTGAGCTTGGGTTCGACTCAGGCGATTTGAACTTGATCTAATTCTAATACCTAAAATGGTTTAACCGAAACTTAACCCAAACCTAACCCAGGTTTGAACCAACCCAAACCTGACCCAACCTAGACCCGACCTAGCTCAAGTCTAGCGCAACCTAACCCAGACCTGACCCAACATAAGCCTGACATAGCACAGGTCTAGCCCAAACTAACCCAAACCTAACCCAGATATGGCCCAATTCAGACCTGACCCAACCAAGGTCCGACTAAGCTCAGGTCTAACCCAACCCAGGTCTGACACAACCTAGAACTAACCCAACCTGACCTAAACACTAACCTAACTCAAGTTTGACGAAACCCGGACCTGACCAAACCTAGCCCAAACCCAAGCCAACTAAGTTTTAACTCGAACCAAACCTAAGCTAACCCACGTTAACCCAGCTTAACCCGGGTCAACCCAAATCAAACCCTAACCTACTTGGGTTAACACAAGTCAACCCCTGGTCAACCCAAATCAAACCCTAATTTTTCCGAGTCAACTCAAGTCAACCCAGGTCAAGCCAACCTAACCTTAACCTACTTGGGCCAACTCAAGTCAACCTGGGTCAACCCAAACCTAACCTTAACCTATTTGGGTCAACTCGAGTTAGCCCAAATCAAACCTTAACCTATCCGGGCCAACCCAAGTCAACCCGACATTTTCTTCTAGAAGCGCGTGATGTAAGCCCGCTCATTCTCTCTCTACATGATCGAGAGAAGAGTCACGGTATCCTTCCTTGGCTTCTACACGATGACAAAGTGTGCCATAAAGAGCTTTTTAAACTCGTAGAAAGATGGAATGATTCTATCCAGCAGACTATTAAGCTAGCAAAGTGTGGCCTCCTTTAGTGTGGTAAGAAAAGTCAACACTTCATGGAAACATCTACAGAACTCCAACCAACGATTTAAGGGAATCCACATGGTCAGTCGGGTCACTCTTCCCCTTATAAGGATCCAAATGGGGAATCCATAGCTTTGTCAGGGTATAGTTTCAAGGATCCGCCAACAAAAAACTACTACCTGGGCTTGGCCAGGTGAGGGCTCCTACTTGATCCACCCAGTGCTTAACTATCGGAGTAGACACTGCATTGTCTGCTAGCTGGAAGTTCTTCTGCCCTTCAATCGGTCAATCGCGACCGTTGGGCACTGAAGGATTATTGAGAGGAGCTCTCTGGGAGCGAATTCTCCAAGACTCTCCCTCCAAGAGTGGCGGTTAAATGTTCCTTTGATTCATGGCCGCCCGAAGGGCCTCAAACTAGTCCATCCTCTACGCTCGCAACGCATGGTCCTCCTCCTGAATGTCTCGACACACCGTCTCTCTATTGAATTCCATGGATGTTTTGTCTCATTGCGAGGTTTCTCCTTCGTAATTTGCTCTGTTTCTCATCTATGACATGCTCACACTCATTGCACTATCTCTTAAGATGTTAGATCCTAGATTATCTTTCGAAAAAACACTCCTCGAAAGTGGGGGGGGGGGGAGAGAGAGAGGGAGGGAGGGAGAGAGAGAGAGAGAGAGAGAGAGAGAGAGAATAGAGCAATTCAAAGTTGGAGTCGAGAGAAAGAGAGAGAGAGAGAGAATAGAGCAATTAGAGAATTATGGATAGAGAAGTCGGAAGAAAAATCTTTTATTTTTTTATGACCATTTGTCAATTTTTCTCTACCATCTTCGAATAATTTGCCACGCATGTTTACTTTCTTATGAAAATAAATTTAATGAGTTTAATACTTTACCTCATACAAATTCTATTAGAATATTGTGGGATAAACAATATCCTCTTTTCAATCAGGAATAATGAAATTAATAGAATATTGTGGGATAAACAATATCCTCTTTTCAAACAGATATTATTTTTAGTATGGCATATGACGTTACATAAGATAAAAAATACAATCATCCATTATTATTTTTTAAACACTACGTTACGCAATTCTAATATACTCTAATTTAAAATCGAGACGAACTCTACTTTTTCAGGAAAAATTATTCCACACGGACAACGCATACATAGATACAAACGTTGTCTGATCTCGACCGTTGATCAACACAAATATGTATTTCGCTGGACACCCTTTTTTTTATTAAATAAAAAAAACCTGATCGACGGTTCTAATATACTCTAATTTAAAATCGAGACGAACTCCTTTTTCAGAAAAAATTATTCCACACGGACAACGCATGCATAGACACAAACGTTGTCTGATCTCGACCGTCGATCAAAACAAATATGTATTTCGATGGACACCATGATCGAAATCTATCCATATGAAATAATTTTCCCTTTTCCAGACCCCAAAAATCTTGCAGACTTGCACCACAAGTAATATTTTTCATTCAACAGATAATACACATACAAACATTTGTCTATGTATTTTTGAAAATATCAATTTTTCCACAGCCATGTATGTAATATATGACCCATGTCATCCCCAACATGAATAAAATATAACCACACACTGCCTAGCTTTATTATAGCTCTGTACAAAGATACATCTCAGCTATCAGAAATCTCTAGCTCCATGCAGTCATTTTCTAAGAAGAATCAACCACTATAATTTCTCTATTTCAACTGTAAAATGCAAAATATCAAACATCTCTCACAAACTCCAGCTCTGTACATACCAACTCACTCAAAAAAACCATATCATTAAGAACACTTCAAATTAGATAATTACATCTATACACCCATCCACTATTCAACCTCACCGCAGAAACTAATCCATCCTGTAATCGCTCCCCACTCATCGAATCCGTATTCACAAAGATGCGAGTCCGTATCTTTCAGCTGCGCCGTCACGGATTCACAATAACGATTTCATGATTCATCAGCTTTCATGGAGAAGATATCAATGGGGGCATTGGTGGAGTCAAAGGTGCCGCCATTATGCTTTGATGAATCACCATGGCTATGATCGAGGTAAATAACAATGACGGTGATGTCGTCGTGGAAATGCCTCCGAATCCCTCGATCGATCTTTTTAATCTCGTCGTATTTCATCTCCCTCTTCTTCGCAGCCACGCTGAGGGCGGCTTTCACTAGTCTCTTGGCTATGCCCTGCAATATTATAACACAAATTGTGAGGTGATAACTGATTTAAATCAACAGGTTCAGAAGTGGGCAGAAGGAATGGAATCACATACAGCTCTGGGATTCTTGGAAACTATTTCGACTGCATCTTCGTCATTGAGCTGTTCCCAGAGGCCGTCGGAAGCGAATATTAAGAACAAGTCATTGGGCTTAAGGCGGCGAACTTGAATTGTGGGTTCTGCGGTCATGACGGGTCTTTTAAGGGGAATGGGGCAAACAATCTGCTGGAACAATGGGTCCCTACAGAAATCTGGTTTCTTCAAATACACATCGCCGATGGATCTCGATACCTACAAGCCACAGGGTATTCAGGTATGATCACCAAAGTTCTCTGATAAATTCTTTGCTTTGTGAATGTTGTACTAAATTGCAAGAAAAGGTATGCATATATTGAAAAAGAAGACAAAGGAATCTACACACATAAACTATTGTATCAGCAAGAGCAAGCACTTCATGGTCATGTTTTGGCAAACGAGGAAATGACAAGCAGATGAATAAGAAAATGGGCAAATTTATGTAGGTAGCACACAATTCTTACGTATTTACACATCTGACACCTGAAACTTATATATTTACAGACAGCATTTTGATGCTTTAAATCTAGGCATGAAAGCGTATATGACCTTTAAAAAGAAGTGATAGTGTTATTTGTGATGTGAAGTTAAACATTTGAGTGCTATGTGCGTAAATATGAAAGTCAAGCTATAAGATATGTAAATACATAAGAATTAAGTATTAAGTATGTAAATGAAGGGGCATTTACGAACATACCGCATAAAATCATATGCATTTACATATCAAAAACCTAAACATTTATATTTAAATGTATACCCACCCAAATCTTTAATATCATATCAAAAATACCACCATCACTATCTTTTTAAAAGTGAAACACACATTTTCACACATAGGTTTATGAAACCAAGATGTTATAAGTGTAATTGTGTAAAAATCAAATTTTGGATGTTAGATATGTAAATACATAAGTATTGTGTGGCATGTATGCAAGTTCGCCCACCTCCACCAGCACCACTATCTTATGAAAGTTTTGCCAAATGGACATATCTTTTTTAATTACCACAAAAGATGAATTCAAAGCAGCAAACTTCAAGTGGAGTTCAACCACAACAACACAAGTCAATCATGTAAAGAAATGAGCACAATTCTACTAGTCACAGAAAATGGAGGGCAAACCTATTGTAGGTATGCATACAATCCTCAATTGTTTGATTTTAATATCATAGCCCAAAAAAATTAAATATGTTTATTTTTTTGTCCCCCATATAGGAACTACTAAAACATTTTTCAATAATCCAATATAGGCGTAATGAAACTACATGGTATTCTACACCAAAATAATTTTCAACCAACTCACATTAGAACAAAACCCAATGCTTTAATGTGGATTAAAAAAAATTATGCATTCTAGTGGGATATTGCTCAGATGTTAAAATATTCTTTGCAAATCATTTTGAACTTCTATTTATGTTGTATTTTGTCTAGCTATTCTCCTTCCTAATCCTCTGACACAAATTTTATCTATATACTCGCATAAGAGGTGCAGCGTTTACCCTTGGTTTATTACAACCCGCACGCATCTTATATCCTTTGTTTACATTGCCAAGCCATCTAATTTTATTTTTAACTACCTTATATTCAATATATGTCATTCTAAACATTCAACTACTATAATATTTTCTCAAATTCTACTTCCCAATTTTGCCACACATTCATCTAAACATTTTAACTTATGGCATGCTCAACTTAGATATTAATGGCCTTTTTACCTTGAAACCAGCAGTAGGATCCAATCACAGACCTACCTGTCATTTTACAAATTTTTTTTGTAATTTTCAACGATACAAGGTTTATGCTAAGCCTACGATGAAGACTAGAAGATAATAATCACGCATCATGTATTATTCTACATGCTGCATAAACTTCTGCTTCGAATATCAGACAAGAACATAGCAAATTCAGAGAATATTGTAGACAAATTCGAGTAGAGAAGAAAAGGAGCTATAATGGCAAGAATATGAATATTATGCCAACAAAGGAAGTCACTTTCAGATAAAGCTAAATAGGGAATATAATGAAAACTATCCAAAATACTTACTAATTTTCTTGGTTAAAAAACTTTCTTTTTTTGTTTTAAAGATTGCATGTCAATATGCTAATCCAGATATCACATGAAACCTGATCTGCTAATCAGCCTATTCTACTTCAAAGCCTTTCTAAACCATGAATATTTGGCATCCCAAAAACAACTGTTCTAGAGATCAAATTCTAGAAGAGTCCAGATGTCCAAACTGCTCAATTATCTCTTTCTAAGAAAACAATAGGTCTAAAACCATAAACAAGAGATCTATATCAGAATTTAAAATCTTTCATCTTGTCTAATGCTTTACTTTAAGTGATATTGTGAGAATTTCTAGAATCTATAGATTTTTAAAAAAAACTCAAATTCATGAATATGCTACTCTAGCTAATCAGTTGGAGCTCAACAGATAAAAATTGATGATGATGTAACTCCCGTTTTATGTAATAATTGTAATGTCATTGTAGATTAAGGATAATAAAGTTGACAGTTTTTAATCTCCTAAGAAGATTTGATGCTACCAGGATTCTTCCCTGAGGGACTCATCATCTCTATTTCCTTGAGAACGACATATTATCTAAATTTATCAGATTTTAACTGTCCCAAGAGATATATCAGTAGTATTGAATCATCTCAACTAAATTATTATTTTCACATTAATAGCCTTCGGATTTTGATGTGTTTAATATCTAAATGCCACTTGATTACAGGGAAAAATTAAGAATTACAGTTAACATTACCTTTAATCTTAATCACACTAAAAACAAACACATTTCTTCATGTTAAGACATCATAACTCAGTTACCTTATTCAATCGATCAATGCATTTCTTAGTTCCAAAGAAGGTAAATGTATCCTTCATGTCAAGTAACGCATAATTACACAGTAACTAAACAAATAACATGCCAAACTTTTAAGCAATTTTCCTGTGGATAGTTTAAATGATCATCCTTCTCCAAACAAAAAAAAAAGCAAAAAAAAAAAAAGAAAAGAAAAAGAAAGAATATAAAGAGAAATTACAACCTCCTAACAGTTCGAGCTAGCATTTAGTCATTCAGGGGCTATTTTCAAAAAAAAAAAAAAAAAAAAGAAACTTTAAACACAAGAAGATCAATAATCAACAAACATTACAATCTATTGAAGAAAAATCACCCAATATACTGAGGAAACTTTGCACGTAATGATCACCTACAAAGTTGCCATCTTTTGTCTATTTTCCATTCATCAACGCAGGAATCGAGATAAGTTTAGAAAGAAAACAAAATTATACCTGTATGATCCCTTTAATCCGCCAAACCCCTCTGGTATATACTACTATGTGGGAGTCATCTGGATGCATCTCGGTGAGCTCCTTCCTCACCTCCTCCACAGCAACGTTGTGATCGCTCGACAGACGCTCCGCCACCACCGACTTACCGCTCGTCGCCCGCCGGCCGAGTACCGCCCGTGAGTCCCCCAGATTAGCCACATATATCATGTCATTCGTAATCGCTCCCACAAGGCAGCAGGATCCCACCGACGCGATCTGAGGCTGCTTAAGCCAAGAATGCTTGACCAGATGAAGAAACTCCTCTTCCGTCGCAGCGAAAGCCTTCCTCATGACCTCTGCCGATAAACCCCCTTGCTCCGAAGCAAATTCTACACATTCCCAAAAATCAATAATTAGGCCGATTCATTTGTGAACAAAATGTTTAGGGTTTCGTTGTTGAACTCACTTTGCAGGTGACGAAAGAGGCGGGTATTGACGAATCGGGATGCCTCGGGGCCACCATGGCCGTCGAAGACACCGACGTAGGTACCGAAAGGGGAGGTGAGGACCTGACCTTGGTCTTCAAGGGAGGAATTAGCCTGAGCGACGGCGATGGAGAAGTCGCCGGAAGCGTGGGGCTTCAGTTCCATGTGCCATAGAAGGCCATCACCGACGCCGCTGATGGCGGCGCCGCTACCAGATCCGCCACCGCGCCAACCGAAAAAGCGGGCAATCGACCTGCAACAGGAAGATTGTACCATATTGTTCCGTTCTTCTTCTTCTTCTCCTTCCTCCGACTAGGTCGTCCGATGAAATAATAACAAAGGTGCTAACTTTCTCCTGCACCAGGTGGAAATTATCGCCCAAAACGGGTCAAAGAGAAGGCGATCGATCGAAAGGTAAAGGTGAGAGATAAGTCAGATGACCTCGCAGTCAAAATAACGCGTTGGGAAGGAAGTGAAAAGCTTAAGAAGAGGGGGAGTGAACTCTACGCGCTTCTCTCTATTCCTTCCTTCTTCTTTTTCCTCTGTTTTTATTTTTTATTTTTCCTTTAAAAAGAAATCGAGAGCGTAAAAAGATACTGCCAAAGAAGCAAAATTTACTTTAATATCACATAATATTAAAAATTATTTATATATTTAATATTATATTTATAATATTTTAATATTAAAAAAACGGATAAATGTAAAAAAAGATTTAAAAATCAGAAAATCTTATTAGATCTTTTCCAAAAATATAATATTTATGTGATTTAATTACGAATTCATTTAGCTTATCTTTTGGTCCTTATTTATATGTTTAGATCAAGATTCAATATCACAAAAAATAATTATATTCAAGTAATTAGTCCCATTGTCTTATAGTCATTCAAGTATTGAGCACGCCTTCTAGCTGTCATGCAATTTGTATTATCAAATATATATTTTATTGTAAGGAATTTAACTTGGAGAAAACTAATTATAGTTTTAGTTCAATGCCAACGTGATTTATACAATGTGATTAATTAATTAGTTCATTATTATTGAATAATCAACAAGCAAAAACAATAAACTTTGATTTCGAAGATGGCAGCAGTTTAAATTTCATACCTAACCATGCAAACAAATGGCTGAAACAGCAGAGATATGTTTGTTTACTTGAGGTCAAGCAAGGATGCGAAGAAAATATTATATGGACAACAGATAAGATTCGAGCATGTTGTTGTGTTATTCAACTTCCATGAAACATCTTGATTCTCATCATAAGTTATATATATCTATGTGATGTGTACTCAGATCAGTTGGTCGAGCATCTGTTTGTCAGTTGTAAGTTCCCCCTAGTCTAGGTTCGATTCCCCCCAAGCGTAAGGTGTGGTACTCGAATTATTAGGCGCATGAAGGATCGATTCCCCTCAAGTGTAGGGTGTGGTACTCGAATTATTAGACGCATGAGGGAAGACCGGAACTCGTATAATAGCCTTCGGTCATTCCTTTTAATATATATATATATAATATTTTCTTGAATCCGCATGAGAAATCTGAGAGGTTGGGGACTTAATAACTCTCAACAACCTCCAATAACAATAAAATTTGCCTCTTCCAAATCTATCCGGATCTCGTCTTCATGTAAATTATAGACTAACATCCATAATTTTATTATTTTTGCATCTAAAGCCAAGGGCGGCTTCACCTTCTTTGATTTTTAACGCTTCCCTGCATATTTTAATACAATCATCTTCCACGTTTCAACAAACAAAACTGCAATTTTAAATTGTTAATTGAACTCTTTTTTCATTTCTATTTCTGTTTCTGCTCTCAACTTTCTATTTTGCACTTTCCCTTTCTGAGAAGATGAGAGGCTGACGATAAATATATATATATATGGTTTTTGGACAACACTTTTTAAATAAATCTGTATTATATTTTTAAATAAGTATTGCAACAGGTTTATCATTAAAGAATACATCATTTCTCTTATTTCAGCTATCTTCTTACTATAACCAGTACAATTAAATAAATAAATAAACATGCATAATAAATAAATAAAAATGCATAATTTTCTTTGTGAAAAAATGCAATAAAAAAGATTAAAAAAAATTAAAATCTTTACATCAAAACAAAATACAATCACTTTACTTTAATTTTCTTTGTGAAAAAATGCAATAAAAAAGATTGAAAAAAATAAAATCTTTACATCAAAACAAAATACATCAAGACATACAAATCAAGATGCCACTAACATTCCTTCTTCAAACTAGAATGATTAAACAGATCATTCCAACATATACAACAAAAAGAAAAAATATATCTACTACAATATCAAGTGCCCGTTGGGTGTTACAAACATACAATATATAAAAAAGCTAATTCAAAACTAGAATGGAGAAAACATTACTGAAGTGCCGGCGGGCACGGCGGCGGGCATCCACCGCCACCGCTGCGGCTACGAAAATCAACCGGCCTATATTCTTGCCCTACAGTAAGGGCAATCACCACAGGTGCTTAACCATGGCTCCAGGCAAGCAGTATGGTACCTATGGCCACAGTGTAACCGAAGCAGGCCATCTCCTTCCTGAAAACTCTCCAGACATACAGAACAATCACTTTGCATTCCACCATCACCATGTTCACCTTCTTGAAAAGTTTCATGAAGAAGGTTATGGATGGCTTCGCTGCTAAGTCCGGGAGATCTCCTGATCCAGTATTGTGGGGGAGGAAATCCATGGCTTTCTCCAACACGAAGGTCTAAAAATTCTATTAAGTTACCGAATCTCCGAAGTTCATGCAGGGAGGTGCTGGAGGATCCCACAGCTGGTCTGAGAATAGATTAAAATAGGAGTAACACACAATGGCAATAGTTTTCAGTGGTGATTAAGTTGAAATATAATGAAAAACCACACCAAGGAATGAAAATTCAAATTATTCGCTAACCTGGGTCCCCGTAGGGAGTTAACCCTTGTTCTGCCAACAAAAGGAGATTGAGCCTGACGCAAAGTGCTGGAGACCGGCCTGCCAGACTCGAGTGAATTTCTTCCAACCACTACCTCCCAGTACTCATCATCCCAAGGGATACTAGAAGCTGCGTCATCTTGCCTGAACGAAAAAAACAAATATAAAAATTGTTAACGATGCTAGGAATTGGTTAAAACAAGGCCAAGATGCCGTGTGGGATCACATAAACCAACAGAAACTGAAGAAGGAAGCTGACCTATTTTGTAGAATGGATAAGCCTCTAAGTCTCTCAAGAAGCCGTGCTCGTGCCTGCAGGACAGAAGCAGGTAACTGTCCGTTACTTGAGGACGACGTTGTATTGATCCCACCACTGGCAATTGAACCATTATTGATGCCGGTGCTCAGGCCTGAATCACCGAGATTGTTGTCATTTGAATTTCGTGGTTGATGACCCTGCACAGTACAGACATCAAATAAGATGGACCTAAAGGATAGATATTTCCATGTTAATTTCACCCTTATTGGTTGCAAGCTAGAGGTAGCATTCTGTCTGAATTAAAGATTGCAGAAAATGGAATGATATGATCATCATCCTCCTCCTTTCGCTCACAACACAGGACTGTACACCTAGTATAACCAAATTCTTTTGCACAAACTCTAAATTTTACTCTCGGTTTCTCCTCTTTCCCAATTTTTCAACCTCATTTTATAAAACCCTTCGCAATGCTTTTCTACCATCTTTTGCATATGGTCAAGCACTATTTTTGATAGACAATACTCATATCATCACTCTATATAGTAATCATTTACTTCCAAGTGTGGCCACATAACCATCTTAACATTCTCGTCTACGCTATATGCTCAACTAGGTTACAATCTTTACAACCAAACATTTAGATCTATATAACATAACTGATCTATTTTCAATTTCACAAAAATTAAATGTATATATGTACTTAAGTATGTATGCATAAATGATAATTCAGCATTCCTTTGATGCGCACCCTTTCCTCTTAATGTCAATAATACTTGTAAATAATGAAATAGCAATCATAGAGCAAGTATCCTATGAAGCCATATTGTATAAGACAACATGCACTACTCCTAAAATAGAACAAAATATTAAAAATATAAATAATTTATTAATAGTTCAAAAAAAAAAAAAAATCCTAATACAGAAAAATTATCAATCCATAAAAATAAAAAATAATATTTTTAACATACAAGGTCAATTAGAGGAAGAAAATACATAGACATAATAGGCTGCTATGAAATCAAGTGCTATTATTATTAATTGGAATGCGTATTCACCTTCGTAATATCATAGGCTGCTATAAAATCAAATATAATTTATGTCATTATATTTGTGTTATATATTTCATAACTACCATGAATCTACTCATATGCCATCCTAATAGAGCAAATATACTCATTTAATTCACCTCCAAACACTATGCTTTCTTCAAAAGGCATATACTATAGTGGTCCATTTATTTTTCCCAAACTTAATTTTTAAATTGTCCTCTAATCCAACATAAGAAGTATAAGCACTAATTATATTCATAGTTTACTCACCGATACTTAATAGCAAACAATCAAGCAATAACCCTACCAACCTCAAAACTGATGCCATCTAACTTTTTACCTACTATTAATCCAACCCAAAGTGTTAATCTTTCTAACATACAATAACTTGTAACATTTCTTCATATAGATGTTTCTCCTTTTACATTTAGGCTACATTTGGATAGTGATTTTTGCTTATGTTGTGCTTTGAGAAGCAAGAACCATCTATTCTAGTCTTGTAAGGATTGTAGAGTTTTAGGCTAATATTTGACAAGTTTTCTTATGCCAGATGAGGAAATGGGCCACAAAAAAGACATGTTCCATGACTATATTGTTGTGATCAGTCTTAAAAAATTAATAATTTTTCGTTAAAATTTTTATGCCTGCCGTCGAATACCGAACGAACCCTCCACTCTTCTCATCTGAGGCTTGAGACCAGACAATGATAATGTTATGATCAATCTTAGAATATCACAATAATTTCATAAAATTTACCAAGTCCTAAATACCTAGTTGCATTCAGATGCAAGCAAGGCTCCCTCTAATCTGAAGCATTGAGCCAAAGGCCTCCAAGATTGACAGTCCCCAAAAATAAATTTAAACATCCTCTTGATATTATGAGACAAAAAGGTGGATTCAACCTCTCTAGCAAAAAACTCTCTCATCATGATGCAAGATCAATCAATGATCTCTCGACAGCCCATGCTCCTCTTCAATTTTGTCATGTGAGGTGTTATCATCCTTGTGTCTTCATCCAGGTTTCTTTTATTCTGGCATACCTTAGAGATTCAAAAATGCCAAACACTTTTATTATTGAGCTTTGCTAATCCATTTTAGCTGCCTAAATAAATGTGTTGCATTACTAATCTATTTGCAATCCTCTATCAATATATTCACTCACACTATTTATTGTTTCGAACAATCCATAAAAAGTCTAATTTTATTTTCTTAAGGCCATCTTTATTTGGAAGAATCGAGCAAAGAAAATACAGGTTATCTTATTGCACTGAGATTGTTTTGGCATCTTTTGATTTTCAGTGCATAAAAATGTGGCATTTCTTAGCTAGATTAGGATAAATCCATATGATCTTTCATTAAGCGTTATTACTTTATTTTGCATTGAATTATGCTATAGAAAAGGTAACGTAACATTGTAAATTTGTTTCCTAATTTAATGAATTGCAAATAAATTATCTAGATTGGGATTTTGATTTCAGCATTTTCTGTTGAGAGTTGTGTAATAAGAGGGTTTATTTATAAAACGTTGTAATCCATATTTAAACACATATGTTGAATGAAACAGAGAAGTTTTGGCTTATTCACTTTCAATTTGGTATCACAGCCAAAGCTAGCAGCCTGCATCAATCGAATCCCATCGCTCGTTGTTTGCATTGATCGCCACTCCCGTTCTTCAGGACCAGCCCTCGTGCTTCTACACGCGACGTCCAGTGCGGGAGACGCACCAGAGTCCCGTGCGGGAGATGCACTAGCGTCCAGCATGCGAGAGGCATGCCCCGCGTCCAACACCAGCCACCACCTTCCAAGCCTCTGCCCTCCCAGGCCGCTGCCCTCCAGGCTGCCGTCCTCTATGCTGCTGCCGCCGTTTTTCTAGGTCACCACGGTCGCTTGTCCAGGCTGCCGCCACCACACCTGCAGCATTTGGGTCGCCACGCGAAGAAGATCCCGATCTTGATGATGAGATTTATCAAAATTGGGTCTAAAAGGAGGAAGGGAATTGTTCGTTGTTTGTATGACCTAAAAGAAAGTCCAAGTGATCGAAGATGACGGGAGATGGAGATAGTGTGGGGAATAAAGGATTGTATCTTATGGGAAGGATTGATCCTGAGGTTGTGAAGTCCTTGTAGGGCTCATACAGGGAGTTAGTGCCTTAACAAGAACTACGACTCCAATGCAGGCTTCAAAAGAAGTGAAGCTAGATTTCCCTCCCATGGATCTGAAGCTTGATGGACCGGCCGCTTATCTGAGCTAGTCACATCGGATTGAGGCAGCTTTAGTAGAGAAGAGACTAAAGAGATATTTGACAAAAGAGAATAGAGAGATATCTGACCGAGGATGAATAGAAAAGTGACATTGCTGAGAAGGATAAGTGGAGGACCACTCACACCTTAGTCTACACTTGGCTACTCAACTCAATGGTTCCGTCAATCAAGTTCTCAATCGATGGCATTCGAAAGATAAGGGACATATGGGAAAAATTGAAAAAGATTTATGTTGGTGATAAGAATCACATAAGGGTGGCTATTCCAGATTCAACGTGAAATAGAAGATGTCATACAATGTGGGAAAAAAATTCAGAAATACTCCATAGAGTGGGAGAGGTTGTGGTTGAATCTTGATTACGTCTCCCTGATGTCGAGCTGTAGCAATCCAGAATGCAAGAAATGAGGGATCTTTATTCAGAAGAGGACTATGCAGTTCCTGGCTCATCTGAATCCGGCCTTTGATCGGAGAAGATTTGTCCTTCGAGCTCTGGTGACTATTCCTACACTAGATGAGGCCATTGTTGCGATGATATGGGAGGAGAGTCATAAGAACCTACACTCTGAGCAGAGTGGTTTTTCGGGTGCATGATCAACATTGGTTGTTGCGAGCCCAGGCACGCTAGGTGTCCAAGGGGAGACTCGAAAGTGCTACAGCTGAGGTGAAGTTGGTCATCTGAGCAAAGCCTGTCCTAAGCCACCGAAGCAGAAAGAGACAGGTGGACGTAGATGACCAAAGAAAAATATGTTGAGATTTTCATACTTATTTTATACTGTTTTTAATGATATTGCACTTTAAAGAAAGGTATTTTTGATGTTTTGTTGCAGAAATGATGAATTCGGGTCATTGTTAGAGTCATTGGAGCAAAAAGATGCAAAAAGGAGCGAATTTGGAGCAAAAAGGACCAAAATATGAAGATTTGAACTAGGGCGCCAACGACGAGAATTTCCCGAGGATCCAGATTAAATAATTTAGAAGGCCCGCTGACGACGCCCTCAAGGCCGTTGACGGCGAGATCGACGGTTATGCCTACTTAAGCTTTGGATAAGGCCAAATTTTGAATGGATGCTTAGGCAGGTCTTGAGAAAGTTCATCCACAACTTTAAAAGAACATTTTGGCCGAAAATTGAGAGAGTCTAGAGGATGTGGTGTGAGTCTAGAGGCCCTAGAGGTTAGAGAGGTTCCATTAGTGTGTAACAATTGTGAGGATTTCTTCGAGAAATTGTAAGAGTGGAG